TCCTCTGCTATCAGAAATATCAAAGTCGACCTATGCACCGAATCATGTCAATTCATGTTAACATGCATACCACTACTACTGTGGTGAAAACTTTCTGCTAGCCAAAATTGTCAGACAGTAATTGACGTCAATGTTTACGTCCCAAATTGGGGTAATGAGGAAAACACCAGAGCAAAAACTAACTTAACAACCAATCATAGCAGACTTAGAGAGGGCGGATACGATTAGCAGAAAAATCATTGGACTGTCTAAGGAACGGTAACAAAGAGATGATAGAATAACCTTCAGCAGGGAAACAACCAATCAGAAGACGCTACCTATTTGCTAATAATAATATACATACAAATCTATTAATATCTGATGATTTTCTCAATAAATGATCTGTTACCCGGCCCTTGTCTTCTGTCATTACACTACTATTAATACAACATAGACTATAAGTACTGCTAGTAAGTAATGCTAATTCAACTGCTACTGAGTTTAATATAATTAATATTACCACTAATACTACTACGATGAATATTACAACAACCTACATTAGTAATACCGTGGTGAGAGCTGGCTGTTAGTCAAAGTTGGTAGACAGTAGTTTACGTCAATGTTTATGTCCCAAATATTGGTCGTGAGAAAAATGAGAAGAAAGGCTTTGCGTGGGCGAATACAGTTAACATATAGATGATCTGACATTCAAGAAAAAGCCATAAAGAAATGCAAGGTTAACTTTCTGTGAGAAACAATCAATCAGAAAACTATGTTTTTCTGCCAACAATAATCTATCATAATGTACAGGAAAATCTATAAATGTGTTGATTTCCTTAATAAACGATCTATTGCCCGGCCCTTGTTACAATATAATTACAACTAATTCTAATAATGCTACCATTAGAACTAATACAGTTCTGTTCAGAAAATCATTTGTTTCTTGTAAGCACTAACTTCAAACACAAGGAGAGACACTGTTTGACTTGGAGACCCCCTTCATCAAACCAACGCTGGACACAAATAGACCACATAGCAATAAGCTATCGTTGGCGTGGGTCGGTAGGAGATTGTCGCTCCTTCTGGAACACGTGTGTAGATACCGACCATGCACTGGTCCGCGCTCGGGTGTGCTTACGACTGAACGGACGTAGGAAACAGCTGGCGGTAAAACCATCACGTCCCCAGCTCGATCAGGAAACTAAATCCGTATTTGAGGAAGAACTAGCTAAACACATATCTGTGTTCGACAGCTGTGCTCACCCTGAAGAAGCTTGGAAAAATATCCAGGCAGCCATAGATACAGCTGTAAAAGCTGTGAATAAGGTAAACCCAAAGGTGAGTAAAAACCACTGGATCTCCACCGCCTCATCCGAACTGATAGATGCTAGAAGACTTATTCCGGCGAGCTCCGAATTCAATGAGGAGCGAAAGCTGCACAAGAGGAAACTTACGAAAAGTCTCCGCAAGGACCGTGAACAGTGGTGGGCGACAAAAGCCAAAGAGATGGAGAAAGCTTCGAGGATAGGCAACACCAGGCAACTCTTTAGACTCATCAGGGAAACGGGTGGGAGAAGACAAATCATTAGTGAGACAATCTCGGAAAAAAATGGCACTATAATTAGCTCCCAGGATAGACGACTGGATCGTTGGAAAGAGCATTATGAGGAGCAGTTTAATTTGCCCACAGCCACGCTCAACCTTCCGAGCATCCAACACCTCCCTGAATGGGATATAGACACAGGTCCTCCGTCACTAACTGAGGTTACTAAAGCTGTCACCAATCTGAAACTAGGCAAAGCAGCGGGACCTGATGGAATGACTCCAGAGGTATTTAAGTACGGTGGAGACAGCTTACTGTCCGGATTAACTGAGGTACTAGGCAGCGTCTGGGAATCAGAAGAAGTCCCATCGGGTTGGTGTAAGTCACTGATTATCCCCATATACAAGAAGGGAGACAAGTCTTCCTGTGATAATCACAGAGGGATTAGCTTGACTAATATAGTATCTAAAGTCTTAGGCTCAATAATCATGCGTAGACTGAGTGGTGCTCGGGAGGCACAAACACGAGAGAGCCAGGCAGGCTTTAGACCAGGAAGAGGGTGTATTGATCATATCTTCACCCTCCGACAGATTCTAGAACATAGGCATTCCTACCGGCGTCCAACAGTCATTATATTTCTTGACCTAAAGGCAGCATTCGACTCTGTCGATCGAGAAGTTCTCTGGAGATGCTTGGCTGTAAAGGGAATTCCGAGAAAATATATTGCACTGATTAAGGCACTCTACTCGTACTCATACAGCCAGGTGAGGGCTTACGGCGAGCTGTCATCTGAACTGATGACGACCAGTGGTGTCCGTCAAGGATGCCCATTATCTCCTTTTCTATTCAACTTCATCATAGATGTGTTAATGGACTTAACCCTAGGTGACTTCAGCGACTCAGGGATTGACTTGCTACCGGGGAATAATCTCGTTGACTTGGAATATGCAGACGATATAGTCCTTCTAGGCGAAGACGCTGACGAAATGCAGAGTCTTCTAAACACCTTGAGCAGCAATCTACGAATGTTTGGCATGCGATTCGCTCCCGCCAAATGCAAGATGATGTTACAGGACTGGACTACATCGACGCCTAGTTTAAAAATAGGAAGTGAAGTGGTAGAGCACGTTGACCGCTTCACTTATTTGGGAAGTACCATCAGCCCCAACGGGTTGATCTCTGACGAAATCTCAGCACGAATCCAGGGGGCTTGTTTCGCATACACCAGTTTACGCCGACTGAGATGGTTAGGACATGTGTTACGTATGCCAAGCCATCGCCTCCCTCGACGAGCAATGTTAGCGGATATAGGGTCAGGCTGGAAAAAAGCTAGCGGCGGTCAAACAAAAACTTGGATTCACCAGTCAATGAAATCCACAACAGTTGGTCTAAGCCAGTCACGTAGGAAGGTGTAGACTTCCAGGCTGGCGTCCTCGGGACGGTACAAACCTATGGTTGGAAACAATTGGTGACATGGCTCGAAATCGTTCTCAGTGACAGCGCAGATGCATCCACTCCTTGTGACTTATGATCTCCAATGAAACTGTTTTGTTTTTCTTTATTACTCTTTTGTCTCACACCTCTGCTCACTGTCTCTATTATGCTTTTCTTGTACTTTCTTCTCTTGCTTCGTGTGCTACATGGAGTGTGGCGACTTGAACTGGCGCACATTTGTGCAAAGTTCTATGTCGAAAACAGACAGACACACTTCATGTATTGAAATCACAATTTGCATATATCATTGGTGTTGCGCTGCTTTGTCTTCTTTTCATGTTTTCCATGTTAATTGCTTCTGTTCACCGTTAAATCCATCTCTCCGCTATCCGATAATCTTGCAGATGATATACATATTTATATCTGTCCACTCATATACTACTTATAAATCTTGTTAGTAGTGTATCCCACAGTAGCAATACTACAACTACCCAACGCTACCTGCCACTAATATTACTACCTCAGTTACTACAACCATTTATGCAACACTTTTGTTGTTATCACTATCACTGATGCTACTACTATTACTTCTCCTACTACTAATGACACTATGAATACTATTGATACTACCGTAACCACTGCTACTACTGTTATTAATACTACCGCGAGAAAGTATGAGATTACCACTGCGACTGACACTACCACTAAGTACTGCCAGTGTAACAGCAGAAGGCAAGGCACGGAAGCCGCCAAGGTATATTTTTTATTGATCAAACCGCTGTTTATATATCTACAGTTTATAATCTTCAGGCGATTATCGAGCGTTTAATTTTAGCTTTACTGAGTTAGTTTTCAGTGGCTTAATGGTCTAAGAGGCCGCCTTATAACCGGAAGGTCCTGGCTTCGAACCCTAGCGGTGGGTGGGTGCTTGCTGGTGAAGAGCCTCAAACTAGGACGAAACAGCTATCCAGTTCTCTCCAGTGGTTCTCTAACCAATTTCAGCTCATGATGCAATCCTATATCTGATACTTACACGAATTCCTTTACAATTTTTACTATTACTTAGAGTGTAACTGTATTAATATTAGTGGTAGGAGAGTAACAAGAGAAAGCATGGACATTTTTGGCCACGGAAAACCACACCATATGAATACACGTTTAGCCACATTGAAGGTCGACTAGGTAAACGGATGATAAACTGTCCTGGTTGGTCGTCGGTTTTCCAAAGGTTAAACTTTTGAGACGAAAAGTTATCCAACGAGATTATTTCCTGACCACAACGTAAACAAAATCCAGGTTTGAAGAGTGAACTCTTCTACCTTAGCAACCAATCACTTTAAAATGTTATCTATCTATTGGTTAATGCATATTGGTCATTTTCATATATACTTTTGCACTGTACACTTGTTCATACTTGTTCACACGTTTCGTACACTCCGCGTACCATAACACTCATACACTTGTGTGACATTTATTTTTCCTTATTGGGAAATACAAGTATCATCGTAAACGAGGTGGTCTTCTGATTTTCCTCTTTCCGCGTCAGGACTATTATAACTACTCGACGAGTACATAACAATTTCAAATCCCAAAAAGACCACCAAGAAATTGATAAAGAAGACATTATGGTAAACTATGATATCACCTCATTATAAACTAGTATCCCTATTACCGAAAGTGTGGATATCATTTTCAGTTTACAAGAATCAGATACAACACTATCACAAAGATGTCCACAGGATACCAGTGAAATAATTAAGAGTTTATAATTCTGTCTAGAAAGTAATTATTTTATATTTAAAGGGAATTTATATAGACAGACAAATGATGTTGCTGTGGGTTCACCAGTTTCCCCAAGAGTCTATGACGTTTTCATGAATAGATTCGAAGGTAACATCTTTTCAAGCATACTCGCGCCTCAGATATGGTTAAGATATGTAGACGATACTTTTGTAGTGCTAAAACGAGACCTACACAGTTCATTCTTGCAGGAAACAAACAATCTATCTCCCAGAATCCAGTTTACTTTAGAAGCAGGCGGAGTCAGACGTCGGTGAACTACCATTTCCAGACTGCCAAGCTAAAAGGAGGGAAAACGGACATTTTAGTATATCCATATTCAGGAAGAAGACCCATTCCAAAACATATTTAAACTTCGGATCATCACACTCATTCAGAGCAAAGGTATCAGTTGTTTCAAGTCTTCTTTGACGACCACACTCTCTGATAACGGATGAGAAAGAAAAAGAAGAATAAATATCAAACATTACTGAAACTCTCAAGCAAAACAACTAACTACCCAAAGAACTTCATCAACAAAATCAACACTGATATTAAGTTTGGTAGAAAACGAATTCCGAAAACACGGACCTCAACAGTTATCATTCCATATAGAGCGAAGACAGCAGACAACATCAGAAGAGTACTCAGTAAGCTCAACATCAGAGTTTTCTTCAAAACATCAAATACACTGCGAAACAACCTTGTCCATATAAAAGATCAAATGCCTAAAGATTCTCTATATAATTTTGTCTACAAAATAAAATGCTTGGAATGTGGTGCGACATACATCGGACAAACATCACCTGAGAGAAATCAAAATTAGAAGAAATGAACACTGTAGAGCCGTCTCTGTTCGACCATTGAGAAATCCAGTTGAACTAGAAAAGTCATCAGCCAGCCATAGCTTGTCTACACGATACGCCGTAGAATCAGGCCACAAAATTGATTTTGACAATATTGAAATCATCATCCAGAGAAAGCATTTCAGAAATCACAGAGAACGTCTTATATCATCCGAAGTACTTCATATCAAGTGGAATCCGAATTGTTTGAATAGGACTGACGGACTAAAACAGAATTTAACAACACCTCCCTCCCCATGAAGTGACAAAATCAACACGAATGTGATAAGCAAGTTCATTATGGAAACACATTGGTTTTATAATTTTACACACTTATCAAATCCAAAATCTACACCAATCTGGTTTTATTATCTTTGCCAATTGGCCAATTTGATAACACAAAAATGCTCCCATACTGAGGAACGATGATTAAAATTGTTATAGATAGGCTGACTGGATTTAGTAAATTTGGTTTAATAATACTGCTTTGATAAAGCTATTAGCAGCAGCATTAAATAGTGATACGTCAGTAAAAACAGAGATATTGTTTTGTTTTTCATCCATTGGGAAATACTACAAAACCTTTATTATAATGAATATCATATACCACCCAATGCCCAAATCTTTTTTAAACTGTTAAAAGTGAACAGCGGTTTGATTATTCAAAAATATACCTTATCAGCTTCCATGTCTTGCCTTCTGTTGTTACACTATGACTAGCTGATTTCACGCCTTTGTATTCACCTTCGGTGTTGTGTACTGGTGATAAGCTGCAGTGTCTCGTTGAAAAAAGGCATAAGAATCTTAAGATTCTGCTCTGCCACAACTTGTTTTCCTTCTTGAATATCGGTATAATAAGTGACTTACCCCAGTCTGGTGGAACCGTCTCTGATTCCCAGACGTTGCCTAGTACCTTAGTTAATCTACATACTAGCATGTCAACCCCATATTTTAACACCTTCAGAATAATTCCATCGGGTCCTGCCGCTTTGCCTCGTTCAAATTACAGACAGCTTTTGTAACCTCACTTACAAACGGCGGACCAGTGGCTTTATCCCATTCGGGTGTGTGTTGGATGGCAGGGAGGTTCAGTGTGGCTGTAGGCAAGTTAAATTGTTCCTCAAATGTTCTTTCCAGCGTTCCAGTCGCCTATCCTGGGAGCTATTTATGGTGTCACTTTTCTCCGAGATTGTTTCACTTATTACTTGCCTTCTCCCACCCGTTTCCCTGATGAGTCTAAAGAGTTGCCTATCGCTGATGCTTTTTCCATCTCTTTTGCCTTTGTCAACCACCACTGTTCACGGTCCTTGAGGAGACTTTTCGTAAGTATCCTTTTGTGCAGCTTTCGCTCCTCATTGAATTCGGAGCTCGCCAGAATAAGTCTTCTAGCATCTATCAGTTCGGATGATGCAGTAGAGATCCAATGGTTTTTACTCACCTTTGGATTTGCCTTATTCACAGCTTTTACAGCTGTATCTATGGCTGACTGGATATTTTTCCAAGCTTCTTCAAGGTGGGCACCACTGTCGAACTCAGATATGTGTTTAGCTAGTTCTTCCTCAAATAGGGATTTAGTTTCCTGATCGAGTTGGGGACGTGATGGTTTTACCGCCAGCTGTTTCCTACGTCCGTTCAGTCGTAAGCACACCCAAGCGCGGACCAGTGCGTGATCGGTATCTACACACGTGTCCTAGAAAGAGCGACAATCTCCTACCGACCCACGCCAACGACAGCGTATTGCTATGTGGTCTATTTGTGCCCAACGTTGGTTTGATGATGGGGGTCGCCAGGTCAAACAGTGTCTCTCCTTGTGTTTGAAGTCAGTGCTTACAAGAAACAAATGATTATCTGAACAGAACTGTAGGAGACGGTCACCGTTGTCCGTTCGCTGGTGTAGTGTGGTGAGAACTGTCTGATAGCCAAAATCGGGAGACAGCAATTTACGTCAATGTTTACGTCCCATATCTTGGCCATGAGAAAAAAGACAAGAACAAAGACTAACTCAACAACCAATCACAGCAGGCTTAGTGTGGGGTGGATACGATTAGCAGAAATATCATTGGACTGTCTAAGAAACGGCCACAAAAAGATAACAGAATAACCTACAGCAAGAAAACAACCAGCCAGAAGACATCGATTCTCTGCTAACAATAACGCTAATAAAAATCCACATAAAAATCTATAAATAGGTGTTGATTTTCTCGATAAACGATCTGTTACCTGACCCTAGTCTTCTCTCTGCCGTTACAGTTACAGAGAAACATAATCAAGAGAGGAAACAATCAATTTAAGCTAGAAAAGGAAACTTCATTACAACGAGAGAGAGAGAAAACAAACAAACGAGTGTTATCACAGTGAAAATATACACACACACACACACACTTTAATACACCTTAAAGTGTTTAATGTGTAGCATTAAACTCCAGTGGCAATTTGAAGATTAACTCTTTGAATAAGTTTTCTGTCCAACCGTTTTTGTCTATGACGAATGACAACAAAACTGAATAATCCCAAAAGTGTTAGTAGACATTTGAAAATCAAAAAACGACGAAATGAACTAATTGAATTATGATATGTACCGCTACTACTACTTTCGGCACATGTTTTTTTCCCATCCTGTTAAATAAAAAAATAAAATTAAAACAGAATTAAGAATATGAAAGTCGATTCATATCGTAGGTAAACAAAAGAATATATAAAAATTAATTTGAATTCTTGATTTTCCCGTCGATTGATTGGACCGAAGTGCTGAGAAATGCAGGTACATCCAGCTGACGAGTCCCAAATAGGACGAAATGCGCATCCTGGATTCCACTGCTAGTCACCATCCACCAATTAAAAATTAATTGGTTTCAGTTCTTTGTGTTCCCATGTGGAACTCTAGAATGTCAGCAGTAGAGGTGTCTTTTAGTGAGGATGCGGTTGCTAGCCTATATATTTTGCCAAGAGAACAATAATGTAGCACACCTCAACTTGGTTTTACTTCCTGGTGTTCTCTTCAGCTGGCCAGCGCAACGATTGGCCATAATCTTTCACCTCGTCTTCACACCACCTCCTCCATATCACCCTCGAACCCACGCCAAACTCGGTGCTTCCCATTCAAATTCCACTTGAGTAGTGGTCTTCACTGAGCGCGATATCATTCAACGGCCTCCTCAGTGTATGACCGATCAATCCATCTCCACTTTCTCCTACATATTTGTTGAGCAAGGTTTTGTTGTTGGTTTGTTCCCAGCCAGTTTTTTTGTGCTAATTCTCTCTGGCCGGCCGCCGCCCGGCAATTTGATCTTCAGTATGCAGCTAGCCAGCGAATGTGGTAGCTGCTGATAAAAGTGTGCAACTGGCTGTTGGAAATGCTTTTCGTGCTTCACCCGTCAAGTTTCCGACCCATATAGAAGCAGTGACGGACTTCACATTTATGCTGAAAATTCGAATCTTTTTCTTTATGCTGGCTGACTGCAGAAGATCTCCACAGACTGATGAAGGTCTATCTTGCCTTTCTAATTCTGGAATCGATATCTTCATCCATTCTACCTGTGGTTGGAACAATCCATCTTAAATAAGTGAAGGAAGTAACCTCTGTCAAATCTCTCTCGTTGATGGTGATTAGTGCTGGCTGTTGTTGTTATTGCTGTTATCTTCATCACCTCCGTCTTCTCTTTTTGTTCACCTGAAGTCCTGTTTCACTACCTGCTTCTTCAGTCAGTTTCTTGGTTTTCGCCTGCAGGTCTTCGAAGTTGTGTGGCATTAGACATAAATCGTCCACGAAATCCATATCTTATAGAGTCTTCTTATCGGTTCAGCATATTCCTGACGCATAATCCAGTCCACTACAACTGAGAATACCATGGTGATAACAGGCCTAGGTGTACTGCCGAGGTACAATGTTCCACTCGGAATCCAAAGGAACAATAATCATAATGGATGAATTCGAACGGATTTCAGGAGACGCATATTTCGTTCTTTCAGGGCTTGCCATATGGATGTACCTGTTCTCCACAAGTCTGCAGCTTAATACTCGCCGCTAATAACGCTTTATCCCTTAATGGAGCTTACTGCTAGCCACCGCAATAAACTCCCACATTCTAGTCCTGACAACCTCTTGACATCTATTTCAGGAGTTCACGTACCAGAATGAAGTTGATCAGTGCAGTCAATAAATAGTATTAACTACTAGTTGTGGTGGTGGGTATTTTGGATACAATAACATCAACCAATAAGACTTGTGCAGATGCTTCGACGATGTCTGGGCATTTAATTGTGCATTGGTGGCGCAGTAGTTAGGACGCTCGCCGACCATACACATGGTCCAGGGTTCGAATCCCGGCCGACGGACACACTCCTTTATTTTGTTAAGCCAGCAATAATACTGGTAAAGAGGAAAGTTTGGGCATGAGGCTAGCAACCTCATCCTGTAAAAATAAACACTGCTACAGAAACTTCAAGCCTGTAGCTTGAAGTCCTATGTTCCACTTGGAACGTAAAGGAATCGATAATAAGACCTGAAGAAAAATATTACCGAATAATTCATGTTGTAGTTGGATACCTCAGGATACTATAATTCATTGAAGGACAGTTTTCAGCTTACCACTAAATTACTGTGTCGAATAAAAACAACTGCCATATATTCCGTAACACTGGTTTCACTCAACAAAGTTTTATTCTAAGACTCAGTATACAGGTAATGCGATGAACTGATGCATAAAACAAGGCAATATGACTGACTGACTGAGTTTTCAACGCAAATCTCTGCGCAGAAGTGCAACACTTCAAGTTACAACACAGCGCACAAAATAGAGGAAAATTCAAATGAACGGTAATGTAAGGAAGAAGGAATAATTACATGGATGATAATTAACAAGACTAGGTGTATTTCGAAGACTACAAAACATGAATGAATCTGTGTCATTTGGGAACAATTTCGAATCATATCACCAACACTTTCACGCCGCCATTGGTTTTTAGCATCCAAGAATGTCAGCCAGGTTAGTCCACACTGCCATACACGTCACTAGTCTAAACTAACAGTCATAGACTTGATGGAATGATGCCAGGTTTAGATCTAACCACTCTTGGAGTGTTTCCAACTTAATCCTATGTTACTACTTAACTTTTTTTTTTAACAAGTAACGCAATGGCCCGGCATGTCTTAGCCATCTCAATCAATGCAGCTTTACAGTCACATCAATCAACTTAACCTCCTTTTCTAACAAACTATGTTTAACCTTATATATATCCAAACCAAGTTGACTTTTAACAGTTTGAAAAATTTGCGTATTGGGCATGTGATATTCATTTTTTTGTATTACCCAATGAATGAAAAACAAAACGATATTGCCGTTTTTACTGACGTTTCGCTATTTAATGCTAATAGCTTTATCAAAGGAGTATTATTAAACCGGAATTTACAAAATCTCAACCTATATATATATATAAAAGACCAAATTTCAAAAGATTCTCTATCTAATTGTGTCTATAAAATAAAATGCTTGGAATGTGGTGCGACATACATCGGACAAACATCACCTGAGAGAAATCAAAATTAGAAGAAATGAACACTGTAGAGCCGTCTCTGTTCGACCACCGAGAAATCCAGTTGAACTAGAAAAGTCATCAGCCAGCCATAGCTTGTCTACACGATACGCCGTAGAATCAGGCCACAAAATTGATTTTGACAATATTGAAATCATCATCCAGAAAAAGCATTTCAGAAATCACAGAGAACGTCTTATATCATCCGAAGTACTTCATATCAAGTGGAATCCGAATTGTTTGAATAGGACTGACGGACTAAAACAGAATTTAACAACACCTCCCTCCCATGAAGTGACAAAATCAACACGAATGTGATAAGCAAGTTCACCATGTAAACACACGCTATTTTTATAATTTCACACACTTATCAAATCTAACAATCTACACTTGGTTTTGTTATATTTACCAATTGGCCAACTTGACAACGAAAAATGACCCCATACTGACGAACGATGATCAAGTTAGTAAACTTTGTTTTGATACCATAATAGATGTACTATTATCTTTGTTATTTGGTTTAGTGATCTTCATTGTTATTTTGACTTTCAATATGGTCCTTTTAACTTGACCTAAGTCTATTTTCTCACCCCTTAACTCTTTGTTAATATATATATATATATACTGAGATTTTGTAAATTCCGGTTTGATAATACTTTGATAAAGCTATTAGCAGCAGCATCAAATAGCGAAACGTCAGTAAAAACAATATCGTTTTGTTTTTCATTCATTGGGAAATACAAAAACCTTTATTATAATGTATGTCTAACCTTATTATTACTTAGCATATTATACCACTTAACATAGGAGACAAAACACGGATATCTGTGGTCAAAGACAGCTAGGTCTTTTTGTGTCTTCCACTCTCAACAGCCACGTCTTACAAACGTAAAGGAGGAGGGAGCGAACTGTTGCACAGTTGCATATTTCCTTTGATCAATAGCCAGCAGGATATCATGTCGACATCAGAGATGACAAATACTACATAAACCTTTCGTACCTGTTCAGCTGATACAACTTCTCATATAAGTGAAGTGACCAACAAGCTTAACTCACTATCTTTCAACTTGCGGTCAATGCGAGCCAGTCCTACAACATCACGTTACATTTGACAGGGGTGAATCACACGTAACACATACTAACACTGCTGCTCAAAATGTTTAGAAGACTGCATTTTCCCAGTACCGTCATCCGCATAATGCGGAGTCTTCTGAACGCCTTGAGCTGCAATCTTCGAATGTTTGGCATGCGATTTGCTCCTGCCAAATATAAGATGATGCTACAGGACTGGACTACATTGAGTCGCTGCTTGAAGACAAGAATTGAAGTGGTTGGTGAGCGTGTTGACCATTTCACTTATTTGGGAAGTTGCATTAGCCAGCTCCAGAGGGTTGATCGCTGACGAAATCTCAGTAGGATACAGAGGGCCAATTTCGCATATACCAGTTTACGCCATCTCTGGCGTAGACGTGATATCCGACTATCGACCAAAGCACATGTGTACTGCTCAGCACTCCGCCCCGTCTTGCTTTATGGCTGTGAGACCTGCCCATTGAGAGTCGAAGACATGAAAAGGCCAGTTGGCTGTCTTCGATCATAGGTGTCTTATCTTCCGTTTGAAATGGTATAACAAAGTGAGCAACAGTGAGGTTAGGCACCGGCCGAGTGCTACGTAAGGAGGGTAAATCAATCGACGAGGCTGTCAGGCCACATCGATTGAGATGGTTAAGACATGCCCAGCCTAGCCAACCATCGCCTTCCTCGACTGATAGGCAATGTTAGCTGGTCAGGTTGGAAGAGCCACTGGTGGCCAAACCAAAACATAGCATCAGTCAATGAAATCCACAACAGTTAGTTTAAGTTATGTAGGAAGGTGTAGACTGGCTTCCCGGTTAGGATCCTAGGGATGGTAAGAACTGATGACGGCTGGAGACAGTCGGTGATATGGCTCAAAATCGTCGTCAGTGAGCGAGCAGATGCATCCACTCCTTGTGACTTATGATTTCCAGTGAAACTGTATTGTTCTTCGTTATTACTATTCCTTTTGTCTCATATCCCTGTTTACTGTCTCTATTTTGCATTTCTTCTACTTTTTTCTCTTGTTTTGTGTGCTACAAGGAGGAAGTGTGGCGACTTGAACTGCTGCACATCGGTGCAAAGTTCTATGTTGAAAACAGACAGACAGATCATCGGCATGCTTTAGGTCGACGACATTGTACCCTGGCAACAAGTCAATGTATATACATATCCATAAGCACATTTGTCATGAAATGAAATAAAAATGGGGACAATGGGTATGCCTGGAGAACACCACTGGTTGTCATCACTCCGTATTCACTTCACGACCAGATATTGCCACAGGTTTCTTCAGGATCTCAGATACACGTCTAGCTATTTCTTCCCTTAGTAGAGCATTAGCTTAGTTTACATAAGGTTGTGGGATATCCGCTTCAGAGCTACCTGTTTCCCATGCCCATTCAGTCGTGAACCTATCAGGATGGCATAGAAGAACTGTTGTGTCTATTGTGAAAATAGCTCATCATACGGCAGGCAGATACCGTTTGCTCGGTATAAAAACAACACAAAATTAAATAATTTATGTTAGAACACCTACTTCACCCCAGGAAACCAGGTAATGTCTTCAGGTGTTACAAAAGTGTGATTCACAGTTAGATATATAAAAAGCCGCTTACTAACTTAGTTGTACAATATTGTTGAGATTTTTAACAATGATTGACTTCTGTTTCTTGTGTACTTTTTTATATATCTATTAAGGTGATTCACTTTTAGCAGTTCCTTATGGCTATATTCCAGTTCATTAGTGAATTTTAACGTGGATTCCCCCTGCCTGATGAAGAATGTACCCTTCTCGTGTGCTGAAGATTCCGGGTTCGATCAGTGGTGTAGTCATAGGCGCGTAGTGCATCATAAACAAAGAAAAGACAGTTTCTATGGTTGACTCGTTTAAGTAGCCCTACGTCAATTCACATGAAGTCTTTCAGTTGTATGCATGCTGAGGAAAAATAAGGCGACGGTCTAAAGCGAAATACCTTTTCTCAAGGTCTTTAACGTATAAATTTTTCAAACCGCTTGAGTTATTAGTGAAATTTCTGCTTGCTACTTTGGAATGAATAACTGTTGTCTAAAGGTTTATAAATTCCTAGTCATCCTAGGCCTCATCAAATGTATAAAAGGATGCATCGTCAAAATCAGAATCCATGTGTTACGAATAATGATGTCGCCTACTCTCTAAGATAAAACATAGTTCCCAGAACCAATTCTCCGTATTCTAGGCCATTATTATTATTGTTATTTCCTTTAATTCCTAGAGGAACATAGGACTTCAGCCACCCACGTCTCCATCTATTGCGTTTGGTTCCCTGCCAACGTTTTCACCTGGCTCCAAGTCTAGCCACATGCTTTCATCTCCTCTTCACATGACCTCCTCCACTCCATGTCACCCTCGCACTGAAGACCAACTCGCCGCTTCCCTTTCGGGTTCCACTCGAGGGCTTCTCTACTGATGTCATTTGATGGTTTGTTTCCTCAGAGTATAGCCAATCCACCTCCATTTCTTTCTGCTTATTTGTTGCACAATCGGTTCCTGGTTGGTTAGCTCCCTGTTACTGATCTTTTCTGGCCGACCATCTGTTCTTGAGTATTGAGCGATAGCTGTTGATGAAGGTCTGCAGTTTGTTTGAGGGGCTCTTTATGAGGCGCCAAGTCTCTTATCCGTATGGTAAGTTGCACTGACTTCATATTACAGTTAAAAATCCAGATCTTGTTTTTCATGCTGAGTGCTGTTGACCTCCACACAGACTTGAGAGTAATGAAAGCTTGTCTTGCTTTCCCGATACCCGCTGCTTTGATAACCTCGTCAGTTCCGTCCGCCTGTAGTTGAAACGATGCTTCCCAGTTAGGTAAAGGAGGTTACTTCTTACATATTTCTCCCATTTAAGCTGATTGTTGTCTGTTGTTGTTGCTGCTGACCACGAATCTTCATCACCTCTGTCTTCTCTTTGTTCACCTGAATTGAAGTTCTATCTTTGATGCTTCTTCTGCCAACATGTTGCTTTTTACTTGCATATTTCAAGTTTGTGGGAAATCAGACATACAACATCATCGGCGAAATCCAGATCCTCCAAGCTTTTTGTGTGAGTCCATTTTATGCCTGTTTCCTCGCTGCCCACTGTCTCTCACATTATCCAATCTACCGCAATCAGGAAAATCATTGGCCATGAACCACACTTATTTTTTTCACATCTAATGATACTACTCAGTCGTTCAGGCTAACATAGGCGGAGAAGGATCGCAGCCTAAGAACCACTGATTCAAAGCCAACGGTTTAAGCTAATGAACTATGAGGTCTGGGAGAAGTTTACAATTTTGGTTATAAAAACTCTAAATATATCCTTCACTTCTCCAAACTCCACAGTCTGTAAGGCACTCACTCTGTAGCTAGTTTATTGACAACACATTAATATATAGTCTACGGGAAAACCAGACTTCATTTTTTTTAAAAAGATGACTGATTAACAAACAGCTTCGTGAACAGTAAAACAAGGAATTAATTGAATTTCAGATTTTCCCGTCGATTGATTGGACCGAAGTGCTCGGTCTCACGTTGACATGCCGGCTTCTTGTGCAGATGCTTCGACGATGTCTGGGCATTTAATTAGTATTTAATTGGTGGATGGTGACTAGCAGTGGAATCCAGCCAGGATGCGCACTTCGTCCTATTTGGGACTCGTCAGCTAACTGGATGTACCTGCATTTCTCAGTGAGTGATGATGTTCTCACCGAGGCTAGTGGATAACGCTTTGACGTTGGAAAATATGGGCACTGGGTTCGAGCCTCGGTGGGAATATCATCACTCACTGAGAAATGCAGGTATGTCCAGCTGACGAGTCCCAAATAGGACGAAATTCGCATCCGGGATTCCACTGCTAGTCACCATCCACCAATTAAAAACAAGGAATACAAACTCCATAGATAATACACACACACACACACAGAAATTACACGGATCACTAATATTATTGATATTCAATTAAAATATACAGCTCACAAATTAGTAGCGATATGACAGAGCACCTGCTGACAATATCAAAACATTCATAAGATAGACAGACAAACAAACAAAGAAACAAATAACGGGAATAAACGTTGGCTAAATTAAATTAAAGTTGGACAAGTTTTAACACAACTAACTAACCTTTGTTATGCACTGAGAACCATTCGATTTTATACTCTGAGAGAAAATCTCATTCAACCGGTCTGATTTCAAGAGTAATATTAGTATGATGCTAATAAAATAAATACAGTGTATTAAAAAGAAAGAAAGGAATTTCTTTTGCTTACGTTATAGTGACTCCAGTGCATAAGAGTAAATAATTCAATGTGCATATTTTAGACATCAAGAGAGAGAAGGAATTGATGATGACTAGCCGAGGAGTTATCTCTCGATAATTTATTACAGGGTTACAAAAGTATTTGTATGCTTGCGTCACTCAAAGTGATTAGATCGATAGAGTTTGATTTGTCGAACTCATCCAATAAACCTAAAGAATAAATCATATAAAATTGATTAGCATAAATATTATGCAGTCCACGCATATATATATATATATATATATATATATATATATATATATATATATATATATATATATATATATATATATATATAAGCCAATAAGGTGAAGTGATCATGATACTTTGTATGGCTGACGACACAGCTAATAAGCATTTCGAAATTTAAAGTTTTGCGTATTATTATTATTGTTTCCTTTAGTTCCTAGAGGAACATAGGGCTTCAACTGCACGTCTCCATTGCGTTCGATTCTCCGCCAACGTTTTCACTTGGCTCCACGTCTCCCCACATGCCTTCGTTTCCTCTTTACATAACCTCCTCATGTCCATGTCACACTCGAACTGACAACCGACTTGCTGCTTTCGATTCGGGTTCTACTCGAGCGATGGCCTGGCGTCTGATGTCACTCATTTGATGGTTTGTTTACTCAGGGTATGACCTTCAATCCACCTACCTTCCTTTATTCCTGTATATTTGCTGTACAATTAGTTCCTGATGGGTTGGTTCGTTCATTGCCAGAGATTCCTTCCTGTTGCTGATATTTTCTGGCTGGCCATCTGATCTTGAGTAGTATTGAGCGAAGACAGTTAGCTGTTGATGGTGTGTAGTTTGTTTGAAGGGCCCCTTGTGAAGGGTTAAGTCTCTAATCCGTATAGCAGCACTGACTTTACATTAGAGCTGAAAATCCGCATCTTATTTTTCATGCTGAGTGCAGTTTATCTCCACACAGACTTGAGAGTATTGGAAGCTAGCCTTGGTTTCCCGACCCTCGCTCCTTCGATATCCTCATCAGTTCCATCCGCCTGTAGTTGAAACGATGCTTCCCAGGTAGGTAGGTGAAGGTTACTTCACTCAGATTCCTCCCACTTATGCTGACTGCTTTCTGTTGTTGTTGCTGTTGATGTTGGCCAGGGATCTTCATCACCTCTGTTTTCTCTATGTTCACCTAAAGGATGTCCTATCTTTAATGCTTCTTCTTCCGTAAACTTGTTGCTTTTCACTTTCAGATCTTCCAGTTTGTGGGAAATCAGACATATATCATCGGCGAAGTCCAGATCCCCCAAGTTTTTTGTGTGAGTCTATTTTATGCCTGTCTCCACGTTGCCCGCTGCATTTCGCATTATCCAGTCTACCGCAATCAGGAAATTTATTGTCTCACTCCCGTCTTCACTTTGAAGGGTCACACAAGCTTCCCACTGTTGATTATTTGGCATACATCATTGTCGTACAACTCTTGGATGGGATGTATAATTGTTGGCGGCACCTCGTAGTAGCAAAGCAGTTTCCAAATCGTCTCTCGAACGACGCTGTCAAAGGCGATGAAGTTGAGATATATAGCTGACTGACATTCAAGGCTGTTTAACGATGATCCGCAGTGGTCGATGTATGACTTGTTTTTCCTCAATCCAGCCTGTTCCGGTCGAAATTTTTCAACCACAGCATGTTTGATTCTCTCCAGGATGATGCTTGAGAATTTCGTTTAAACTCATAACTCTTATAATACCTCTACCATTCAGAAGCCCCTGATAACCGAAAAGATTTTGAGTTATCTTCTGTCAAACATTAACGCTTTGAGATAACTGATATCAAAAAACCTCTTTAAAGATGGATGTTAACTGTTCAACCGGACTTTATTTAGCACAGGTGCTATGTGATGTTAGGTATAGTGTTAGGGGTAAGGAGAGTGAATCCATCGATGAGGTTACGAAGCTACATGGATTAAGATGGTTAGAGCAAGTGTTACACATGTGGACCCGTTGCCTTTCTTGTTGAGAAATGTTAAGTGAGATACGATTAGTTTGGAAAAGAGTTAGGTTTTGTCAAACAAGAATCTGAAATTAATATATTTGAAGTCTTTGACTAGTGATCTGAGCCAGCGACGTAGGAGGTCTTCATTGCAGTTTATAATTTGTATGCGCAATTGAGTTTCCGCCATTTATGTATTCCAAATAGAACTAAAATAGATATCCTCAGAAACTGAAATCAATAAGATTGTTAGTGTATTTAATAATATGACTTGAGTTTTTACTAGAAATAAGTAGCTGTCAATTTACATATTATCTAATAATTTAGCTAGTTCTTTCTTGACAATATCCCCTTCACATAACTGACTGGATTTTCAACGCAAAACTTTTCAGAGAAGTGCAAAATTTCATTTTGTCACAAAGATAGCAAAATAAAAAGATATCCAAAAGAACCACATACAGCAGAACTGTAAGGGAGAAAGAATAGTAACACGGGAAAACCTAAGGGTATAGTGGATACAGAAGAACACATCTCCGCCACTGAGAACGTTTTAGAAAGTAATATCACTTACAGTCTCCAACTATTGTTTCTCTGAGTTTTTTTAGGACCCCAATCAGGCAGTTTACACCTCCCTAAGAGTGGTTGTCTTAAGCCAATAGTCAAAGACTTCATAGACTGATTCCAGGTTTTGACTTGACTACGCATAATTCTTTTCCAAACTAATCCTACATAATCTAAGATCTCTTAATACGAAAGTCAATGCCTCCATATGTATAGCACATATCCTAGACATCTCAATAAATTCACTTTCACAACCTCATCGACTGACTTAGCTTCCTTACCCGACTGACAGCTGCTACCTTGACGTGGTGGTCGGGCTTGCACATCGCGATGACCCAGCAAGCTACACTGGCTGGAACCAATGTTCCTGCAGGTCTTACCATGCCTGCCAGGAAGGTTGTTAGGATAGCGATTAAACTAAAAGCAGTTACCGGCATAGTGTAAGAATCTTTCTTACGCTATACTGGGAGTCTGTGGGCGAAGTCGTATTGCTGGGGAACAGGGGTGTAACAGCAATGAGATGTTTCCCTCAGATGACCAACATGCCGGCCAGCTATGATGTCTCTCCACTCTGGAGAGAGAGGGAGACGGGGTTAGAAAATTGTACATCCCGACTTACCCCACATACGGTGGTCCGTAACCTGCGGTAAGTTTACTTATACGGGACCAAATGAAGAAACCACTTCATACAGGCCGTGTGTGACTGGTCTCAAGCAGTCGTTCCATAGGCTCTGTGGTCACGCAACACTAACCCTCTTTCTGTTTCAGGTGCCCGAAGAATCAAGCAACTTTCACAGTGTAGGCAGTCTGTAAGTAACAACCGCCCACACACTGTCTAACCTCAATAATGCTCATACTACACTACTTGCCACAGGAGACAGAATGTAAACATAAGTAGTCCAAAGTAACTAATCCTTTCATATCGTCTACTCTCAACAGCCATAAATGAGTAGAGTGAACTGCTACGCAGAACACTTGTCTTTTGATCAATAATTGGATATCACGTCGACGCCAGTGACAGTAAGTGCAAATGATAAGGTTTCGCCAGTAATTTAGTCCATTATGACTGACGTAACGTAATAAATGAATTAGTCAGCAGGCATTGGAACAATGTAGTTTTGGCTCCCATCTTCAAACATAACAGCAAACAAGTGGTATCAAAATACAAGTCTGTAAATGTGACACGGAACATCGCAAAGATATTACAGGAAAAAGCCAAGTGTTAAGTCATAAGCGGAAATATCTACTCCAGGAGGAAGAATGTTAGGATCACCGTACTGTGTAAAAGTAAAGGGTGTTAATGGTATACTGTCAAAGTGAACCCTGCGTCTACTGGATAAGCACTAGGCACTATCCCAGTCCCATTGCTATTGTTATTGTACACCAACAAATTATTGCAAATCACTAGCTTGTTTTGTTATTTGTCTAATAACATCAAGATACAGAGGACAATGATGACAGGCCAGACTTACAATAATACACAAATTAACCGAAAGGTTCAACAGATGGATTTTAAAAACTAATTTCATGAAGAGCGAATGAATCGATTTATGCCAGAGATGTCACACAACATACCTCCTCGTTTAGAAAAAACGGGATGATATTAAAGAAAAATTGATCTATGGATAATTGCAAGTCACAACCGAAAAACAGCTACATAATGTAATACAGCTTCAACTGATAGATTCCAAATACTATGAACAAAATGAAGGGCTTTTCGCTTAGATGAACTTATGTTGAACACACTCTGTTCGAAACATGTTAGGCATAATCTAAAATTTTGATGTGGTTTGTTCTCTGAGCTGGATAGTTAGTTTGCGAAGCTTTCATCACCTTACTGGGTGACATCTTCAGCGCATACTTCAAATTGAAGTATGCGCTGAAGATGTCACCCAGTAAGGTGATGAAAGCTTCGCAAACTAACTATCCAGCTCAGAGAACAAAACCACATCAAAATTATCCACCTGAGCTACAAATCTTCTCTATCATATCTATAATCTAAAATGTTACACACATATGGCTATTGAGTAAGTTGGTGGTATTTCACACGTTCTTTGGTTGGAGAGACTAAAAATTTAACCCTCTTTTCATTATCATACTCAAGGAAAGGAGTTGACTTAGTTCTGCGTTACTATATACTAAATGGAGTCTAGAGACGAAGAGAGCTATACCCAGGATACTTTTGGAGCCTTCATACCAGGGTGCTGGTGAGGCGGTCGAACATTGGATAGACAGAATTTACATCCTCATGTGAACAGTCGATGTGTGAAGCTCTTTACACACCCAAGTGCCATCGGTTTCATAAAAGTAATTCATGGTTTAAAATTATTGACTAAGGTAACTTGAGACAATATTCTACAGGACGAATAAAGTTAAGTGTGAAGTGAAACATACAGTCATGAACTCTCTACTACGAAGAACTCGCATTTTTGTAAGTCACAATGACTCTGTTGTCAATCCTAAGACTTGAAAATCAACCCACCGAACAGTAACGTACATTTTTGTTCTCCCGCCTCC